TGTTAAGATATTACTCACAGTGATCGGTTGGTTGGTTTGCCCTGAAGCTCGACCCTACACATTCCATGAACACAAATGGGTCACAAACAATTCGATCCATTCTAAATTTGCATTTTCCTCTTTAGGCTTCATTCTTATCTCTTTAACTCAATTACAATGCTCAATGCATGCCTAAGAGTACTTGGAAGTGAAAGAGAACAGAAAATGAAACACAGAATGTCTTTTTAAAATTTCAGAAAACAGGGTCCCCACTCGAGCGTGGACTTCCCCGCTCGAGCAGACCCACGAGGTCTACAAAAGTACTGGATATGTCAAATTTACGCTCGATCGCGAACACTGACGCTCGAGCGGAAGGCTTCTCTACATGGCTTCCCGCTCGAGTGTGAACTTCCTCACTTGAGAGGACACCATGTCTGCAGAAAATACAGGGCACACAAATTTCACGCTCGAGCGACGGTTTTCCCGCTCGAGTTAACACCAAAATTCTAGAAAATCAAGAACAAGTTCTTGAGCTTCAATTTGATGTTCAAAGGTTCCAAATGGACAATTTTGTCTCAAACTTCACATATACATATTCTAACATGGTGTAAACACCAAATTACAACACAATGAAGCTCAATTTCACAATTTAATCACATGCATGTCTCAAATTAACTCAAACTCATCACCAACACACTAGATTCAAACATGCAAGACTCAAACTCCCATGATTTGCACTTGCATGTGAAATATACACAATAACCTCAACTTAATTGGTGAAGAGATGATCAAATACATGGTCATTAATCAAAACTCAACATGGATTACATACTTTATGCTCAAACATGGAAATTTATGGCAATTTCTTACATGCATGTGTTCTAAGACTTCAAATTCAACAAAACTAACCCCATTTCATCATAATCAATCTAACTCATGTTCTTAACCATTAATCAAACTTGAATTCACAATTTACAACATTAAACTCATAAATTCCCTTACCTAGGAGCTCAATCTTCCAAACTATAGCAAATCCTTGAGTTTAATCCTCAAATTCCCCTAACCTTGAGCCAAGATTACACAATTCTCTCCCTCTCTCTCTCTCTATAGCCGGCCCTCTCTCTTCTTTGAGTTCAAATCGGCCAAATGAAGCTATAAAGAGAGAATTGAGGGTATAGTGCCTTATTACAACAAATCCCACTAATTCCAATTTAATAATAATAAAGTAATTAGGCACCAATTCATCAATTTAATCAATTTAATCTGATCCGAATCAATTTCCAACCAAATTTCACCATAGGCTCTAAAAAATACGCTAATCACAATGGCGCAATCAATTTTGGTTTCGGTGGCCGATAGGGCCCTCAATTTAATTCCCAAAGCAGATAATCAAACAAATATTCCTACGGTGAACAGATAGAAATTCAAAACCACATATTTTCACATAATGGCACACAAAATCATATTAAACACATAATCATACTCATATTAAGGACCAATTAACATATTACGGAACAGGAATATAACATTCCAGTTTCATGTGTGGGACATGATAGACACTATATATATAATATGTTTTATAGGCAACATTATAGACTCTATTGAATTTATATGAAATCACTTTATTTCAGTCTGCAACGTTGGTGTTTTGCTAATAGAAAGTCCCTCTAGCATTAATTGTTTTAGGATAGCGTTGAGGTAGGAGCCCAACATATTCAACATAGATAATGTCCTCTTTTTTAATAAGTTCAGATTGATGTAAAGCAAGGTGCATTGTTGTAGGCGTGTAGAACTTGGGAAATGTGATTAAAAAAAAATGTTGTGGAAATGTGGGATTTGATGACTAACAAAAAAAATGTTAATTATGTGTGAACCTTGTAATGGAACAGGGTGGTTGCTTTGTGATTTTTGTGAAGGGCAGAAAACCAATGTGAAAGCTGCTAACAATCGGATCTATCATCGGTGTCCATCTTGTAGAGTTGTAAGTGGCTCATTAGTTCACCTTTTTGATTTACTTCACCTATGCAAATTTCTACCAATGCTTAATTTTATTCATCAAAGCTCATCCAATCTCCATCGAGATAACTGCCTTACACTACAGGAAATATATGATTTAACGGCATTTATTTAATGGCGCTTTTTAAAATGTCATTTTTTTAATATTTAACGGCATTTTATAAACGTCACACTTTATTTTAATTAAAACGGTGCCGTTTAAGTAATGAAGTCGTTTGAAAACCGCCTTCAAATGTGTTAACAGTGTTTCTCTCTTTCTCTGTTCAAACCCTCAAATCTCTCACTCACTTATTTTAATCTGAGAAACCCTAGAGTCTTAGAGAAACTGATCCCTCAAATCTGTCACTCTCTCTCTCTAAACCCTTCAACTCGATTCAACCTTCTCCAGCTCGGTGATTTATCATTCGGTCGATCCAATCTTAGAATGATTTTGATTTCGAAGCTCCACCGCCATCGCCACTGCCACCTCTACCGCCACCACCATCTGCCTCGGCATCTGCATCGTCTACTAACCATCTGCACGATTTCAATTTCAATCCAATCTCAGTTTTGTCGATTCTTCTCTCTCTCTCTCTCAATCTCTATCTCGGTCTCTATCTCTATCTCCCTCTCTCTGGATCTCTCAATCTCTCTCAGAATGATTTTGGTTCTGTTGACAAATTTTGTAACAAAAATTGGGGGTTTGTGGCTTTCATCGTCTATTAGCCCAAGATTGTGGAGCTTTAACTCCTATCTTTGCATTCGATTGCTGGTTAGATGGTGATTTGTTGTGGTTTTTTATTTTGTTTATTTGTTTATTTTTTGTAGTGGTATTTTCTGGCAGATTGAAGATACTTATACATTTGTCAAAGAAGATAAGTATATTTTAGCTTTTGCAATTGTATTTTTGCTATATATTCAATGTCATTACTTGTAAACATGTATTCAGGATTGTTCTTTGAATTTTTTAACTTATAAATAGAGGAAAATCTTCCTAAATCATTTCTTTAAATTTTTGCTGAAGTTTATCATTGATACTATATTCTTTGTTCAGTCTTGTACAGGGAAAACCTTTGTTCAGTCGTTTCGAGCATGGATGCTATGCCATTCTGCTTCATTTGTTGTGAATTGAGATCTGTGTATACAGATAGTGTTGAGTATAATACATCATTACTATCGGTGCTATCTCCTGTCTTTTTGTATTCTTTTGCATCGTCTTGATGCGCTCTCAATAAAGTTGCTTATTTATAAAAATAAATAAATAAATAAATTTAAAAAATATTGGGTTACATGTGGAGATAGTATTTTCTTATATTCTTTCTAATTCGTTGATGAAATTACATGTTGTGTTACCGACCTACTTCATTTGATGACTTGTTCCTCTAGTTCGCAATATGAGGCTGACCACTTTATTTAAAATTCTTGCTACTGTTACTGAAGGATGCCAGACATTACCCTTGTTTCAATAGTGCCATTAGTCAATGGGTTTAGTGGCAGTTTGGCTTAGCTGATTGTATCCAGATCAAATAGATATTCAATAATTATTAACCTCGAGGCTGTGGGTTCGAACTTGAGGGCAACTAATTTGTGCAAATTATGAGAAAGGTTAGGTTAGGACTCAATTTATCCCTTCCAGACCCATATCATACACACAATCATCAGCTGATACGGTGATCATTGCTCATAAATGAACATCTAGCACTGGATTTGATTTTGCCCTGGCCATCATTTTGTCAACTGTTACATATGATGTCCACTGTTATTTTGATGGTGTGAGTAAGCCCTGCTTTGGCAGCAATCAGTGGTTCAACAAGTATAATTGAAATATAAACCACTGATTTTGAGTTCTTTGTTGCTGGTAAATACTAAATAGTAAATATAGTCACTCTTTAATAGTTTGTGTTTTTGCATGTGCATGTGTTTGCTAGCATTTAAATTAGAGTTTTTCCCATTTGTTTTGCAGAATAAAACATAGTACATAATTTTCTTTTATTGAGCAATATATACATTTGATTATGATATATTTTGCCTTGATAATTTTAGGTCTCCAACAATTATTTCCATTCCAAAGTCATCTGACAGTGTCTCCTCTAGTTCATCACGAAGCAAGACTCGGGGGAGGTTAACTCGCAAGTTAGTATATGTTCTTGAAGTTGTTAAGTTGTGTCATGGGTGGATGTATCTTCGTCATCTTTTCTGGTTTGATTGATTAAGTTGGCTGATTTAGTGGACTAAATACTTGATTTTTGTCTTTTTCTCAAGAGATCTGTGGTTGCACAAGTTGGTATTTCAGGATGATGCACTGCTTGATGGAACTGAACTAGCTTATTTTGTTCGTGGGCAGGTTGTTAAGATGAGCACATACACATTATTATTTTGGTTTAAGGAAATGTTTATGTTGCTTTTTATAAAGATCAAATGTATTAAACAATTAACATATTTTTTTTATTTTTGTGGAAGCAATGCTTTCCCAATGAAGCACCTTGTTGTGATATGTATTTGTTTTTTGATTACTTGTCATCTACAGAAATGCGCAGAAGGTTATAAGAAATTCTTAAAAGTTTCTCTTTAGAAGCTTAAGCTGTCTCTTAATAGTTTACATAAGCCTTCACCAATAGAAGGCTCTTGAAAATAGTTCCATTAAATGGAAACATTTTTCAATTTGGTTATAGAAATTCTTGCCTCCCATGGACCAAATGCATGCAAAAACTTTGTTGTGTGGTGTCTTTTTGCTAAATTCTGCAATTCAGTTTTGTCTCTTTCTCTTTAATTTATTTTTTTATTTCGTAATCAGCATTTGTGAGCTTATATTTTTCTACACATTGATGATGCATGCAGGGGCCATGGTTTCAAAACTGTTAGTTTCCATTCTAGCTTTTATTTTCATTCTTCAAAAAGTTCTTTTTTTTCTTTTTTTTTAAAGTTTTTTGCTTTGGTCAATTAAGTGTCCCTGGAGTTCCATCTAAATAGTGCTCTCTTAATATGTCAATTAACTAGCTAGAACTGATTGGTATTTATCATTACAGAACAAAGAGAAGTCTATATCATTGAAAACAATGGAGGATGGTCAGGTACTTCTGTACTCGGTAAGTTTCTCATCTTTTTTGGTATGGTGTTCAGCAAGGCATCATCCATAAACATGTTTTAATATTAAAACAATCATCAGATTCAGGTATTCTATTTTTGAGTTCTAATGTGGATAGCATTATCTTTTTCTTTCTCCCAGAATTCTGTGAACGCCCAGGAACCCAAAATTCCATACCCTTGGCTGCTTTTCAACGACAAGGTTAAAGTGAATTCAGTATTTCTCCGGGATTCAACTGTGGTATCTGATTCCGTGCTTCTCTTATTTGGAGGAAAGATTTCTAGAGGCAGCTTGGTAAGTTTTTTTTTTCCATCTGTAGTCGATACTATCAGCAATATCGGTTCTTGCAACATATATCCATGACAATTAATTTTCTTTCATTTTATTGTGCCATATATTTTACTGGGATCATTTGCTGCTTTTGCATAGGATGGACACTTGAGAATGTTGGGAGGATACTTGGAGTTTTTCATGAAACCTTCCTTGGCAGATACATATCTAAGATTGAAGACTAAGCTTGAAGAACTTATTCAAATGAAAGTAAGTATTTTGCAACATAGTTATGTTTGGCACAAGGGATGGATAAATATGGGCAAAGAGAAAGAGGGATGGCAGAAGCATCCCCTAAGGAATATGTTTAATGCCGTTTTAATACCCTTATTTTGGAAAACGAACGAAAACCTATTAAAAAAGTGAAATGCATTTTACATATTAAAATAGACGAGTTCTTAGTTCCCTCTTGCCTGTATGGTTTTTGGTGGCCTGGGCAGATTTGTATCCTCTTCCTTTCCCTTCATTTTCTTATTTCTTCCCTTTCCATCATTCTCTAATCTTTCCTTGTACTAAACATGATGTGGCCAAGTTTTCAAGGCTGAATCTTTCTCTCACTCACACTTAATTTGAAGTGAGAAATACCCGCAATTTGATGTTGATTGTTTTATTTATTTGATTTATCGTTCTGTATTTTGTTGATGCAGCTTTTGAATTCCAAGCTGGAAATAAAAAATCACAATGAGCTCCTGTCAACGGTAAGACTATTGGTATCAGAGGATCAATGTGAAGGTAGATTTGTTTTTGGTCGCCAGGTTCCAACATCTTCAAAAAAGATCACAAAAGAGATGCTGCCAAGCACGCCCTTGAGAAGTATTGATGGCGGTGATGATAATTCCAAGAACGAGCTCCAAACATTGCTTGCCAGGGCTGGACACGGAGCACCCACCTACAAGACAACCCAACTGAAAAACAACAAGTTTCGTTCTACTGTGATTTTTAACTGATTGAACTTTGTTGGCCAGCCTTCCAACAATAAGAAACTTGTAGAAAAGGGTGCAGCGGCTCAAGCTCTACAATGGTTGACAGGTGATGAAACTTGGTCACCTCAGAAAGCTGTTGATCATATGGCAATGCTTTTAAAGAAGAGCAAAAAGAAACGTCAAGTCAATGCTACTAAGTGGAGGTAGTTGCTGCAGAGAATTAGAACAAACAATATAATGTCATGATTGCTTTGCGAAGAAAGATGAGTTGTGGAAGTCAATATTTCTCGTCATTTATTTATAAGCCAAAAGGGAAGTACTGGATCAGATGTAAGATTGTTCCCGGTCCTTTCCAACCCTGGACAAAACCACCCTTCCAGAGAGGAAACTCGTGTTTTTACCTTTGCCATTACAGACATGGAAGTCAATGTTTGGATGCAGGCGGTACCTATTTCAGCTCGAGGATGAACTTGGTCCAGAATTACTGCCGCATCAGGTAGTTACTGTTACTTCTTGTATCTTATATTTATTCTTACTATGAAAAAATGGAAGATAAGCCCTCACAGAAGAGAAGAGTTAGCTAGATATTGTTTTTGTATAGAGTGATTGCTAGCATTCTGCAGAGATTGTTGCATTTTATATAGCATTTCTTGCTTCTAAGAAACCCTTGTCATCAATTTATGGATTTCAGCAATTGAGATTTTCACTTATCAACTGAGTTAATGTTGGGGACAGTTGGTAGCTGCCGTTTTTCTAGGCCTTCCATGATTTTTGTTGATGTTTCACTGTCTTGAACATGAAAGAAATATTGTCACAGGAGCACTAATAAGTTCTTTTATTTAATGGTTGTACTTTAGGATCGGTTTGACCCAATAGACAATGAATGAGGCTTGCCAAATTGGTTGGGTTAATTTGGAATCGAATATTCCTGGGAACTTTTTTTAAAAAATGGAATGCCCTTTTATACTTTTTTTTTTTCTTCAGGCAGGTCTCCATGTGATACCCTTTTAGCATATCTTTTCTGTGTGTGGGGGGGTGGGTGTGCATGTATGTATTTACTTGTCTGCGGTTTCTGATTTATGAATGAACAAGAGTTATGTACAATAAGAAAATGACTTGGGACTAGATGTAGTAGATGCTACAACTTACTCTTTATATGCAACCAATGCTGCTATGACTGTATATTCATTATTCATATACCTATTGTAGGGATGAATCACTGCTATGTCAAGGACTTGCACTGAATGATGACTTGCAGCGACCACTAGCCAAACATGAATACATCACCTCAGGAATTTCTGCGAAAACAGAGAAACCGAAGCTCAGACCTGTTCAAGCACTGGTGAATCTGGATGCTCCTCTAATTTTTATTCTTTGCAATATTTGTGTTGGCTAATATCCTTGATACATCAGTTATTGTTGGAATTGGTCTTTTAAAAATTTATATTGGGTATAGTTCATAGATGTCAAAACATTAGTGTTTATGTTTTGCACAATTTTTTTAGAAAGCCAATATCTAGACAATTGGGAAATTAGAATTAACTTTGGAAGACTTATGCAATGGATATCTAGAACTTGAGTGAGTTTATTCTCATTCTAGAATAGATGCTTTGACTTTCTATTTTGTTGAATTAGTGGGGTTCTTTCCAAGGATTTTTTTATTTATCTGCTGCTCTATTCTGGAACTTATATTCTACAGGAGAGAGTCAATTTGTATTTTAAGACAATTTAATTGCCTTCTATATTAGATTGTTGTTGGATGATGTTAAACTGTGCATGAGATGGCTGCTTGGTTTTTTGGGATTGAACTTATTGGATTTTGTTCTTGAAGGATGTTGTATTTGGTACTATTATAGATGTGAGGGAATAGTAATCTCACCGAAATATGTCTATACAAAGTTTTATTGGGTACAAAATTAGTAGTTTAAATAAATAAAATAAAATAAAAATTCTATTGCGGCGTTTTTCAAAATGCCACTATAGTTATATTTTTAAAAAAACAAAAAGCTATTACGACGTTTTTGAAGCGTCGCTGAATGCCTGTGTGACGTCATGTTACTGTTGGTTGCCACATTTAGCGGCGTTTATAAAAGCGCCGCCTATACTAATTTTACATCGTTTTTAAAGCATCATAAACTTACAGCGACGGCCGCGTCCTCAGCGTTTTGTGGTAAGCGTCACTAAAGGAATTAGCGGCGTTTTTCAAACATATAGCGGCGTTGCTAAAAGTCATTTTTCCAGCAGTGTTAGCCCTGTCCTATCATCCGTATAATGGAGTTTGTTATTTTAATTCATTGAAAAAGGCAATTATTTTAAAAATAAACTTTTCAGCCTTCGTGATCAAATATAAGTGGGTAGTCCTAATATTTCTTCATTCGCAATATTCTAATGACATGGACCCCTTTCACAAAAACATGAAGTCAAGAATGTTAACTATTTTACCTTATCTTTTGGCCGCAGATTGGATACATCCTGTGTTCAAAGTGCAAATTTTTCAAATGCGTTACCTTTCCTAATTATAGTGACGGTGAGGATGTAACAGTCTACTGTTCGATGCGACTGGCATTCAACTATTCTCCTGTTGGATGCAGCAGGTCAGTTTTTTTATCCGGGTGTATTTTGAAACCAATGAAGGTGTTCTTTGAGAGGCATTTATGTACTTGCATATTTCGAGTGATAGATGCTTAGCTTATGTGTCATATGACCTATATTAATTCTTTGTTATTCTAATTGGAGCAATATGCAATTGGAAAAAGTAAAGAATGGCTTATGTTCTTGATTGCTGAATTTATTTTCTTGTACTTAACAAGGACTATTGGTGTAGAAAAAAACAACAGACCTATAATTCAAGCTTAGCACTCTCATTTTCAGCTTTGAACTCCCTCATTTTTAACTAATGCTTTCTGCTCCCATTTCTTAGTTTTTGCCCAAGACTAAAGGAGGAATTGCAAATGAAACAAGTGGAAATAATTGCAAAAATATAGATGTGCAATTAGATCTGTGCTCTGGTGTAAGTGAAAATTGTGACCTTATGTAGGACTTAGACTATGCATTTTGTGTTTTTATGTTGCTCAATAGTTAATTGTGTCAATTTCATTCTCCAAGTATTAAATGAGTTAAATTGGTCTCTATGAATAATGTTATAGTATTTATCATTAGAATAAAAACAAAAAATTACCGTTTTTGAAAAAAATAGCCTTTTACAAATTGACTTAATTAAAATATTATGGATCAAAATGACCCAAGATACATTTTGAACCAAAAGTGTAATTAACATTCTTTTGTTGCAATGTAATTTCTTTATTTGATGCTAACAAAAAAAATGTTGATGTGGGTTTTGATGACTAACAAAAAAAATGTTGTATTTGATGTTATAGTAGTTAAACTTTTATGTTTTTTTTTGTAATTAACATTAACACATAATTATATTGTCATTAATTATTTTTATTTTTATTTTTCAAATATTTCCCATGTAGGAGTGTGCTTCTTGTGGAATGCATGCCTGTGGAGAATGTGGCTAACTTTTGTTTTTGTTATCTACGAAGAATGATGAGAAAAACATTTAATTTTGGTTTATGTTATTTTGAATTATGAACAAAATCATGTATTTAAACATTACATATGTATTATGGAACATTATGTAGTGGAATAATTTTGTTGATGTGTAATTATGAATGGAAGAATATTTTATTAGGGAGATTATTATTTTTATACAGGTATTTTTATATTATTATGCAATTAGTATGGAGAAATTTTAATATTTTTAATAATTTTATCGCATGATGTTTTTTTCTTTTTTGTGACGGACTACACCATTGTAAAAAACAGAAAATTTTAATATTTTTATTGATTTTGTTACAGGTTTTACTTTTTGTGACGACACTAAACTGTCGCAAAAAATAAAAATTTTATTATTTTTCTAATACTTTTTGCCACGGCACCACACCGTCGCAAAAACAGTGTTCTCGCCGTTGCAAAAAAAAGACTATTAGCGACGGCATTTTTTGCTGTCTCAAATAACATTTTTAGTGACGGTAAAATAGTGCCATCGCAAAAAATCAAGAAATTTTAAACATTATTAGTGACTGCAAAGTGCCGTCGCAAAAGGCAAAAATGCCTTCACAAAACATGCAAAAACTCTTTTGCAGTGCCTCCAGTTGCGACCACCCGCTTGCCATCGCAAAAAGTCATTTGCTGTCGCAAAAAGTTTTTTGCCACGGCATTAGGAGTATTAGCGACGACATTTTACCATCGCAAAAAACTAAAATTTTTAGTAGTGTTAGATTGGTTATATCTTATATGGTGTTTGTTTATGATTTTTTTTTCTTAATTATGATTGAAAAAATTTAATTATGATATTTATGATCATTAACTCCTAAATAAATGTCATAACTTACCTATGATAATTTAATCAGTAATGATAGAGACCCCCACAACCCCAAAATGATCTTAACCATTCTTATCGCTGTCAGAGATAGGAAAAGAAAATTTTCAAATGCAGCAATGGTTCATACATCAGTAAGGGTCGTAAAAGTCCTCCTTGTGGGGTCCCAAACATTTTCTTAATTTTTGATCATCTTTTTAACACTTCTAAGTTAGGGTAATGTGGGGGAGATTGGCGCAAGTCAGCGTATTGGCGCGTCTGCTCCCATTTCTCGGCAAAGGTTGCAACACAAACCAATTATGCTGGGTGAGTTAGCATCATGATTTTTCTAAGAATTTAATTTTTAGGAGAGACTATGGGTTGAATTAAATAGATAAGCACTTATTGATTTGTGAAGAGTGAAAATGCTAACTTCATATCGGTTAATTAATAACTGACTTTTGCCAACTAAAAATTAAAAAAAAAATTACAGCACATTACTTGAAAATGAAAATTAATGGTCTATAATTATTAAGTAAATTTAAATCTTAACATTTTTCTTTTAAGTGTTTTTCAATTTGAATTTAAAATATGTTGTTATAGTTATTTCACAACTATTAAACATCTTCTATGAGGAGTTCCAGAAAATTGAAGCAGAAAGTTCTTCCTTTGTGGCTTATTTTAGGGATGAATGCATGCGAAAGCATGAATTTACCTCGAGTCAAGGTTTGCGGAACAAAAGAATTGTCACTAGTTATTCCTCGCTTGTCCAGCTATCCCAAACTCATCTCTAGCACAATAGAATTAAAAGATTCAGATCTGAAAAGCATGATATATGGACATATTACAAAATATTATACATCTTAGAATCATATATGTCGAGCTCTAAAACCAATATGCGCCAAAGCATGCACAAAATCTCAACCCAACATGCTAGCTATAATCTGTTCAAAATAAATAAATAAATAAAAATTAAAATTAAAATTAAAAAAAAAAACATGCTAGCTATAATGAAAGAAAGGGAAATGTCATACAAATAAAAAATTTATTAAAAAAAAAATATTCAAAATGATGTGATAAAATCTTTTCATTTAAAATACTAAAGTCCATATCTATATGATTTATATTTTTCATAAAAATCACTGCCACATCATTCTAATTCAGAATTTGTATAAAATTTATGTTTGTGAAAAACATGGAAAGAGTACTTCCAACAACTATTTTAACGCAAGACTAGATTTACATCAAGAAGTTAATGATAAGTATTAATAACAAGTTGGCAAAAATGAAATATGGAAATCCAACTCATGAAGTCAAGAAGGCATGCTATGAATCAAGGAATATTGTTGCAAGACATCCTTAAACAGCGAAACCAAGTAAACAAGAACATAATAAACCTACCTCAAAAGTGTTTCAATCCTTGGTTTGAAGTCGTCTTGTTATATAAAAATTCTTTGAGTTCAGCCTCAAAGTATCTTGTGTGATCACAAAAATTCAAGAATGTTGGAAGTTATATTGAGTGTAATTGAATAAGATTGTGAAAAGGGTGGTTGGATGGTGCAGGGATGAAGAGAGAGTGGTGGACGGGTATGGCTTGGTTTGGTATAGTTGCCTAATTTTATTTCTTGCTCTTGCTTCTTAGTGCTCCCAAGAGTCTTCCTTGTAGTATAATGTAATCTGAGATGTATGACATTACCTTTGATGCACTATTTATTGACTTAGATGAATTTAAAAAGAAAAAGAAGTTGACTTGGATGTCAAGATAAGACATATTGGGTGGACACAACGTAATTTCTTGAAAGATTGGATAATTACTCATTCTACTTAAATTTTGATTCCTTTCATTTCATAAATAGAATGGATACTTCTATTTTATTTCTTAGGATTATGACACTTTATTATATTTAAAAACTAACGATTTATGACTATGATGTCCATATAAATTTTAAATTTTTCCATAACATTTTGATTTGAAAATAAAAATTTATTGATGTCAATTATGAAATTGAAAGGCAAAAAAGAAAATTTTCATCCAAATAAATAAAGTCACAAAGGAAACAACCCAGTCACCAAGTGCTTTGGGAAGGAAGTTTTTTGGTTTTTTTTTTCTTTTTACTAAAAGACAAATTAGTTACAAAATAAAAAAAAAAACTAATCCAAATAAAATATCACATCAAATCTCATAATCATTTTATTTTTTCTGTCACAAACATCACATCCAACCACAAAAAAATCCAACTATCTTCCTAAACACAAAAAAAAAATTTCTCCAATAATATCCTATAACTAAAAAAAATTAAAAAAAAACTCACTTCCTAATCACCCACAATGCAAAGAAAAACGTTATTAGGTTTTTGGAGTTCGAACTCTTCTCAAATGCATTTTTTTCCTTCATTTTTTTGAATTTAAAAAATATAAAAGATACGTCATGCACCTATTGACCTTTAGTCATTATTTTATTTATTTATTTTGGTGTTTTAAAAACACCTAAAAAATACCACCCAAAA